TTCATTCTACTGTATATCTTAAACTCTCCCCACTCTCACACCAATTCACTAACTTCTTTAGTCCCCCTGTAACTCTCCCCCTCCACCCCCAACTTCATAACTACGTAGTCTCGTAACCCCCACACTCCACCCCCAAATTTACTGACACTTTTTCTCTTAAATCTCCCAACTCACACCAACCCTTCACAACTAGAGCTCTGTAACTCTCCCCCCCTCAAACAAAACCCCAAAATTAAAACTAGACTCTGTAGTCTCGTAAACCCCCCCAACTAAAACCCCAAATTCACAACTACTTTTCTCTGTAAATCTCCCCCACAACCAACTTTTACTAGACTCTTTTTCTCTGTAAAATCTCCCACCTAACCACTTCATAACTACTTTATCTCTGTAACTCCCCACACTAAACCCACTTCACTAGCACTTTTTCTTTAACTCCCCCACTAACACCAACTTTATAGCTACTTATCTCTTAAATCTCCCCACCTCCCCCAACTTCATAGCTACTGTACTCTGTAAATCTCCCCACCTACCCAATTTCCCAACTCTTATCTCTTTTTCCCCCCCACCTCACACCAACTTTTCCCAGACTCTTTATTTTGTAATCTCCCAACTCAAAACCCAAATTCACTGACTACTTTTTCTCCGTAATCTCCCCACCTCACCCAACTTTATAGCTATGTATCTTGTAACTCTCCCCCCCACAAACCCAATTAAATAACTACGTAGTCCTGTAACTCTCCCCCCCTACCCAAATTCACTAGATACTTATCTCTGTAAAATCTCCCCCACAAACCCAAATTCCTAGACCCCACTTTCCCCCCTTTTAAATCTCCCCCCAAATAAACCAAATTCATAACTACTTATCCCCCGAAATCTCCCCCACTAAAAACCAACTCCTGACTACTTTACCCCCTGTAAACCCCCCCCCACACCAATTACTAGACTACTGTAGTCTCTGTAACTCTCCCCCCCCACTCCCAACCCCTTCATAGACTAGTTCTCTGTAATCTCCCCCCCTCACACCAACTTCATAACTCTTATCTCTGTAATCCCCCACACTCCAAAAACTTCACTAACTACTTTTTCTTGTAACTCCCCCCACCCAAACCACCTTTTACTAGACACTTATCTCTGTAATCTCCCCCACTACACCCCCCTTCACTAAATCTGTATCTCCCTTTTAACCCCCCCCACTCCACAAACCCCTTCCTAATAATTTACTCCCTTTTAACCTTTCCCAACTCCACCAACTTCACTAGACTATTACTCGTAACTCCCCCACACTCCAAACCCCTTAACTAGACACTTATCTCTGAACCCCCCCACCAAAAACCCCCAAATTCACTAATCTTTACCCTGTAATCTCCCCACACCCCCCAAATTCACTAGCACTTTCTCCGTAAAACTCCCCACAAATAACCCAACTTCACTAAACTTTACTCTCTGTAAATCTCCCCCACAACACCAACTTCACTAGACTACTTTATCTTGTAAAATTCCCCCACTAAAAACCAACTTCACTAGCTACGTACCTGTAAATCTCCCCCCCCTAAAACCAACTTCACAGACACTTTAAATCTCTGTAAATTCCCCAACCCCCACCAAATTCACGACTACTTCTCTCTGTAAAACTCCCCCACTACACCAACTTCACTAGACTACTTACTCTGTAAATCTCCCCACCCCACACCCAACTTTTCTAACTACTGTAGTCCTGTAACTCTCCCCACCACACCAAATTCATAGACCTTTTTCCCCCCTTTTAACTACCTCACTCCCCCAACCTCACAACTACTGTATCTCTGTAACCTCCCCACACCCCTCCCCAAATCACAACTTTTAGTCTTTAACTCTCCCCACACTCCAACCCAAATTCACTAGACTACGTAGTCTTGTAACCTCCCACCCCACCAAATTCACTAGACTTTTCTCTGTAAACCCCCTCCCCACTCCACCCAAATTCACTAGACTACTTTAAAATCTCTGTAACCCCGCCCCACCCACCAAATTCACTAGACAGTAGTCTCGTAACTCTCCCCCCTCACCCCACCAACTTCCCCAGTCTTACTCGTAACTCCCCACACTACCCCAACTTCACAACTACTTTCTCTCTGTAAATCTCCCCCCAAATAACAAAAACCCTTTACTAACTACTTTCTCTGTAATCTCCCCCCCTCCACCAACTCATAACTACTGTTTCCCTGTACCCCCCCCCCTACACCAATTCCTAGACTCTTATCCTTTTAAATCCCCCACACTCCCCCCCCCTTACTAGCTACTTCCTCGTAAAAAACCCCACACTCCCCAACCACTAGACTTCTTTTTTCCCCTTTAAAAAATCCCCAACTACACCCCCAACTTTACTAGACTACTTTACCTCTTAATCTCCCCACCCTAAAACAAATTCAAGACTACTTTTCTTGTAATTCCCACACTAACCCAACTTCACTAACTACTTTCTCTGAATCTCCCCACCTCCACCAACTTACTAGACTACTTATTCCCCGTAATCTCCCCAACTACACCACTTCCTAACAAATTTCTCTCTGTAATTCCCCACCCCCCCAAACCCCCCTAATACTTTTCTGTAAAACTCCCCCCCACTACAACCAACTTCACTAGACACTCTTGTACACTCTCCCCACACACACACCAACTTCACTAGACTACTGTAGTCTCTAACTCCCTCCACTCACCCAACACTTCACTAGAACTGTAGTCTCTATAACTCTCCCCACTAACACCAACTCACTAGACTACTGTAGTCCTCTAACTAACTCTCCCAACACCACACCAAACTTCACTAGAATACTGTAGTCTCCACTCTCCAACATCACACCAACTTCACTAGACTACTGTAGTCTCTGTAACTCTCCCAACACTCACACCAACTTCACACTCAGCAGAAACAGGCTTTAGCTGTATAATTGAAGAAATTCTAGAAAATGTTTCCATCATGTGCTGTTTTCAAAATGAGTTCAAAACTGATGACATAAGACTCCTTGTAGGCCTGTTATACAATCATACTGACTGACCCATCTGGATATACAATCATACTGACTGACCCATGGATCTCTATCTATATCATTAAATAGGGTTCAGTTGAAGATGCATATTTTGCTGACACAATCTCTGAACCAAGCATCCTGTTTCAGTTCAACTCAGAAAGACTCTCACTTCCCCATTCTGTCATTAGAACCTCGTCTGTTGCAAATTACTGCAGCTTTTCTAAGAACAAACATTGCTGCACTCTTCTCTCATTCTCTAAATGTTTGTAATAACTTGAAGCCAGAGTTCACAGTACTGCACAGAGTTACTGGTGAAAACAGGGAGGGACTGACAGTAACTGCACAGGCAAGCAAATGTCAAGTGAATTAATGAATGAATAAATAAATTAACAAATGAATGAATGTATGAATAAATGAGTTGAAACAAACTAAAGTGGTAACATTTGTGAAGTTACCACCCAGCAAACATGACCCCATGACCCCATGTGGGCACCGGCTAGTCCACACCAAGCCTCACATCAAGCCCACACCAGCCCAACGGGCTAGCCCACACAAAGCCCACATCAGCCCAACGGGCTAGCGCAAACCAAGCCCACACCAAGTCCACACCAGCCCAACGGGCTAGCCAACACCAAGCCCATACCAGCCCAACGGGCAAGGCCACACCAAGTCCACATCAAGCCCACATCAGCCCAACGTGCTAGCCCACATCCCAGCTACTTCATAATGTTAAGGCGGGGGCACATTAGAACATTTTGGGGCATGGTTTGCACACAGTTCTTCTTCTCACCTGCCTTGGGGCCACTTGCCTTGGGGCCACCTGCCTTGGGGCCAACTGTCTTGGGGCCACCTGTCTTGGGGCCACCTGTCTTGGGGCCACTTGTCTTGGGGCCACCTGCCTTGGGGCCACCTGTCTTGGGGCCACCTGTCTTGGGGCCACTTGCCTTGGGTCCACCTGCCTTGGGTCCACCTGCCTTGGGTCCACCTGCCTTGGGGCCACCTGTCTTGGGGCCACCTGTCTTGGGGCCACCTGTCTTGGGGCCACCTGTCTTGGGACTACCTGCCTTGGGGCCACCAGTCTTGAGGACCAACGTGGAGCCAATGAGCAAAGGCAGGTTCACCGAATGTGGGCAGCCTGCAGGGACCAATATTGTAGCCCTAATTATTTATAATTCTTCTAAATAAAATGGACTTTTAATAACTGAATTGACTGGAAATAATACCCACTGTCTGTGTGTGGATTTAATAAGCAGTAATATGTTTGGAGGATATATTTGATTTCTAAATTGGGGGGGGGGGGGGCTGGGGGGGTTTTGTTGCACACACAGAGTCATTAAAGTAGAGGAAGAGGAAGATGGTGATTAGAGGTCTGGGTATGCTGGATCTGAGAAAGACTACTGTGTGTGTACAGCAATTAAGTTATTTGTTTTTATCAACATGGACACATCCTAAAATCTGTATTTAAAAGTTGAAAGATACATAGTTGATTTCAAGTATTGCTTATAAACTAGTTGCTTATGATGTAGAGAACTTAATTTAATCTTAATTGTTCTTGTATTTGATGTAATGTATCATAGTATGTAGTCCACTTTAATAGCCTTCCTTTGATATGCAATTCTCCAGTAAATGTATTCTGCGTATTTCAGAAAAAAGCAGCCTATTGAACATACTGGTGGAAACAGAGGTACAGAGAATTGAGGAAGAGGAACCTAACGAACAGAATGTTGGTTCTTAGAAAGATATTCAGAGTGAATGAGGGTTGGAGGGGAGTTTCCCCCCTCAATTGTCAATGGGTCTGATGGACCAGCTCTCTGTATAAAAGACAGGTCAGATCAGACCTCAGGCATAGAACCAGACCAGAGCATCAGAGACCAGAGAATCAGAGACCAGAACATCAGAGACCAGAGCATCAGAGACCAGAGCATCAGAGACCAGAACATCAGTGACCATCTCAGACAACACAATCTTCAGCATCTCAACCATCTCTGAACCATGAAGACCCTGACTGCTCTACTCCTCCTGGGACTGCTCTGCTCCCTCCATACCACGTCTGCAGGTGTGTGTGTGTGTGTGTGTGTGTGTGTGTGTGTGTGTGTGTGTGTGTGTGTGTGTGTGTGTGTGTGTGTGTGTGTGTGTATACAGTGTGTGTATGTACAGTGTGTATATGAGTGTATAGGAAGAAGCACCATGTGTTGACCAGTGAGTGTGATCGTCCTTTGTTTCCAGCTGTCATGGGGATTGAAGCAATAACTGCCAGAAATTGCTGTGTGAAGTTCCACCCCAGGAGGCTCCCTCTTGATGCAATGGTGTCAGTTTATAAGACCTCTAGTAGCTGCCCTCGCAAAGCACTGGTGTAAGTTAACCACAATGCACACACACACACACACACACACACACACACACACACACACACAGATTTCTAAAGGCATAACATGTTCTATACCGTTTGTGGACGGGTCCAAATCTGTTGCTAGGGATGCATGGTTACAACCTCCGATACATAGAGACCCTTTACTTCACTGTACTGTAGTGGTGATAGCGTAGGATCACTAAGGCTGTCAGAGTTCATCAGTTAACTAAAGGTCACTTTCTGTCATTTTACTGCACTATTGTTATTTAATTGTGATTAATCGCATTGTCTGAAAGCATTCCAAATATACGGAAAACATTAAAAATATATCATCTATAGAGCTAAAAGGACAATGAGATGTCAAAACAAGTTGACGTTGAGGTTATTAAAGAATGTGTGTTTTATCAATTTACCAGAATTTGCTAACAGTTACTTTGGAAAAAATCAAGACGTCAATGTTCTTGTAATGATTTTTGTATTTAAAAAAATCTTAAATTACAGCTCCATTTGAGCAAATTCTGAATCTGGAACCAGGCTACATCTAGGCTACACTGTACTAGACCAGATGGAGCATTCATATTATAGACTGGATGTCATGAGTGACAATGTGTTGTGACTCTGTTGCAGTTTCACCACAAAGAAAGGGAAGACATTTTGTGTTGACCCTTCTGAAGCCTGGGTCCAGAGTCATGTGACCAAGATTGAGAGCAGATCGACCACTGCCAAGACGACGATGATGTCATCAACCACCGCCACCACCAGCTAACTGCCATAACTGTCAGATCTGTCAAGAAAATAGAATATCATATTTTTGTTGTACATAGAATAATATTATTTTATTCTTATTTATTGACCATAGTGTAAATAGTGTAAAGTTACTGTGTATTTTGAAATTATTATTTTTTGTCAACAAATTCATATGTTTGTTTCAGCAATAAAGCTAAATACGTTCCACATTTTAATAACTAAGTTAATTGTGTTCTTATTGTGGTACTCATACTTTGATTTAAAAAAGCTTCACATTTGTGAGGGAGAGTTTTTCACAACTACTTGAGGCATGGAGCCAGTTACATGGACAGATATCAACTATTTCCATAAACTAGCAACCAGCAGATTCAGCATTTTGGTTGTTTCTTATTTCAGAAAACAATTAATGTGTTACATTTACATTTTAGTCATTCAGCAGACGCTCTTATCCAGAGCGACTTACAGGAGCAATTAGGGTTAAGTGCCCTTGCTCAAGGGCACATCGACAGATTTTTCACCTAGTCGGCTCGGAGGATTAGAACCAGCGACCTTTCGGTTACTGGCACAACGCTCTTAACCACTAAGCTACCTGCCGCCCCTGTTACAACTCACAAAACTGCATAGAACTCTGCTTCCGAGAGAACAGAGGTCAACAGTCAGGAACACAGAAACAGAATAAACTGTTCAACTCAGTGAAAAAACGTGATTGTCCAGTTTTTTTTTTTTTATTACATTTTACACACTATGGAGGTCGAAATAACACTCTGAAATTGTGATAATGCCCTTTTTAGAGTAAGCTTTTTATAGAAGAAAAAAAGTGCCTCGAATTTCAGTCTGTTCAGGTGGGATGGAGTTATTGGCCCACAGCATGACATCACAATCTGATCTGATTATTATGACCAATGACCAGTCGTCTTTTATTTGCATATGTATCCTACATTGAAGGGGTTAAGCAGGGTAGGCTGTAGAGTCTAGACCAGGGTTCTTCAATTCCGGTCCTGGAGGGCCGAAACACCTCTGTTTTTCATCCTCTCCTTCTTAATCAGGGGCTAATTCAGACCTGGGACACCAGGTGAGTGCAATTAACTACCAGGTAGAAATAAAAACCAGAATTGTTTCGGCCCTCCGGGACCGGAATGGAAGAACCCTGGTCTAGAGGATCCTATCCACCACTGTATTACAATGTGTATCGGCACAGCCACACAATCAGACTGAGCATTTCAATGGCAAAAAGGAGGCTCGGGAAAATAAATGATACAAAATATATTTTCAAGTTATTTTCATGAAATAAACACACAGTGATTTATTAGACATAATGTTATTTAAACGTTGAATTAAAAAGACTGGGGGCATTACTGAAGGGCTTTCTGAGGAGTTTAACCACAGGACCATTCAGTGCATTCGAAAAGTTTTCAGACCCCTTGACTTTTTACACATTTTGTTACGTTACAGCCTTATTCTAAAATGGATTAAATTGTTTTTTTTTTTCTCCTCATCAATCTACACATAATACCCCTTAATGACAAAGCAAGAAAAAGGTTTTTAGAAATGTTTAGTAATTTATTACAAATAAAAAACTGAAATATTACATTTACATAAGTATTCAGACCCTTTACTCAGTACTTTGTTGAAGCACCTTTGGCAGTGATTACAGCATCGAGTCTTCTTAGGTATGACGCTACAAGCTTGGCACACCTGTATTTGGGGAGTTTCTCCCATTAGTCTCTGCAGATCCTCTCAAGCTCTGTCAGGTTGGATGGGGAGCGTTGCTGCACCTTTTCAGGTCCTCCAGAGATGTTCAATCAGGTTTAAGTCCGGGCTCTGGCTGGGCCACGCAAGGAATTCAGAGACTTGTCCCGAAGCCACTCCTGTGTTGTCTTCGCTGTGTGCTTAGGGTCGTTGTCCTGTTGGAAGGTGAACCTTCGCCCCAGTCTGAGATCCTGAGCGCTCTGGAGCAGGTTATCATGAAGGATCTCTCTGTACTTTGCTCCATTCATCTTTGCCTCGATCCTGACTAGTCTCCCAGTCCCTGCCGCTGAAAAACATCCCCACAGCATGATGCTGCCACCACCATGCTTCAATCTTGGTTTCATCAGACCAGAGAATCTTGTTTCTCATGGTCTGAGAGTCTTTAGGTGCCTTTTGAGGAGTGGCTTCCGTCTGGCCACTCTACCATAAAGGCCTGATTGGTGGAGTGCTGCAGAGATGGTTGTCCTTCTGGAAGGTTCTCCCATCTAGACAGAGGAACTCTAGAGCTCTGTCAGAGTGACTATCGGGTTCTTGGTCACCTCCCTGACCAAGGCCCTTCTCCCCCGATTGCTCAGTTTGGACGGGCGGCCAGCTTTAGGAAGAGTCTTAGTGGTTCCAAACTTCTTCCATTTAAGAATGATTGAGGCTACTGTGTTATTGGGGACCTTCAATACTGCAGAAATGTGTTGGTACCCTTCCCCAGAACTGTGCATCGACACAATCCTGTCTTGGAGCTCTACGGACAATTCCTTTGAACTCATGGCTTGGTTTTTGCGCAGTCATGCACTGTCAACTGTGGGACCTTATATAGACAGGTGTGTGCCTTTCCAAATCATGTCCAATCAATTGAATTTACCACAGGTGGACTCCAATCAAGTTGTAGAAACATCTCAAGGATGATCAATGGAAACAGGATGCACCTGAGCTCAATTTCTAGTCTCATAGCAAAGGGTCTGAATACTTATGTAAATAAGGTATTTCTGTTTTTTGTTTGTTAATAAATGTGCAAAAAAATTATAAAAACCTGTTTTTGATTTGTCATTATGGGGTATTGTGTGAGGATTTGTATTTATTTAATCAATTTTAGAGTAAGGCTGTAACATAACAAAATGTGGGAAAAGTCAAGGGGTCTGAATAATTTACGAAGGCACTGTATGTACATCTCAATATATTGATCTCACTATCAGGCTCTAACCGTTATAATTATACGGGGCTTATGTTAACCTCGGGGAATGTAGGCTACGTGCTCCTCACTGCTCCGTTGCCTCCGAGAGATGCCACGTGCGTAAGGACGCAGGATAGCGGCACGCACTGCGCATGGCTCGCTGGCTAGTTCATCAACGGTGCCACCGCGTCATATCTTCCAACACAGTCCGAACTTCCTCGCATGCCTCTCCGGGCGGCCCATCCACTATAGCTGCTCATATCCACCGGAAACCTTCCCGCCGCTCATTGTGGAGAGCTCTAGCAGAGCTGGGCGTCATGAATTAAAGAAAAGCCTGCGTTTACAAATCTGATCACCAAACCCCGCTGCAAGGTAAAAACACATTTATGACTACGATTATTTGAGTTTTGGTTATTGTCTTGCTCATCCTCGATTTATTATCTGATTCTAAAGATCAGATCAGAAGAAAACTACACATGTTGAGAAAACCGTTCTTTTCTCGATTCATCCTTTACTGTCATTGAAAACAATATATTGACACTTATGGCTATTGACATGGCTATAATAATAACACAGTGTCATAATAACGGTTTGTTGTAGGCTACAATATAGCACAACGAGTATTTTCCCCATTACATTACGCCCATGTCAGAATAACGGAGAGATATCCTGCTAATTTGTATGCAATACACTTTGGTGGTCCAAATGGATATAAAACCTCAATACAATACACTGCAGAAGTCGCGCCTGCCTTGTGTAAATATAGGCTAAATATGTAGGCTAGACATCTATATGATTCGGATCTTTGTTCTTGTTTGAAGTCAATACTAGTCCCATATATGGGATGGCCAGAGCCCGTCCCGACCACCTCGTTTCGAATTCAGCAGCACAGAAACCCCGCCCCGACGGAGTCCTCTCTATGTTGCAGGCAGGCGGATTCAAAATCGGAGGTTTACTTCCATAATCTGATAATCAGACATGGACATTTGCGTGCCGCTGTCCATAAAGCCACTAGGCCAGTAATGGGTCCATGGAATCCAGTTAAAGCAGTGGCACAAATGTTTTTGAACTTGTTGTCACCTATTCCTGACACAAGCACTGACTGCATAAAATAGTCATAACAATCAATGGGTTATTTGTGACAGACCAAAAGCTGACCATCTTGTGTTTGCAGTGTGGTGTGGTTGGACCAGCGGTGATGGTTTTGGACCCAGGTGAGGACTGTATGGATCGGACAGATGTCCAGGGGGTCAGAGGGAGCAGCAGCACCGCAGACCTGACAGGGCCAGAACCAAGACCGGATCCTCGCAAAACCACCACAAGCGACAGCACCAGACTAGAAAACACCAGACCGGATGCCCCCAAAACCACCACAACTAGAAAAGAAGAGACCAGACCTGACACTACCAAAACCATTAACACCACCACCACTAGAACAGAAGGCACCAGAGCAGACCCTCCCAAAACCACAGAAGAACCAACACCGGACCCTCCCAAAACCACCACCAGCACCTGGATCCGTGCCAGGACGAGCAGTGTCACCAAGAGGGAGCAGCTATCCAACTCCCACAATGGACCCCAGCCTCAACCTCAGTTGTTGGGGGCCAATGTCGGCCTTACCCCCAGCCCTAGGGCCAGTGCTTGCTCCTCGACCGACTCCTCTCACCCAGACTCGCCATATGATGGACCGGTGGTCTCTCTGCGGCGGGACGTCACCGTGGCAACGGCCTCGTCTCGGAACAAGGTGGCGACCAGGCCCCCACTCCGCCGGCCCCTCAGCCTGGACGTGACGCCCCTGCGTCTCCGTGGCTCTGAGCCCGTGCTGGACCGCAGGGTCCTGCAGCCCCCCTGGCGTAGCGGTAGTGGTCCCTCCGCTGCCTCCTCGCCCCCAGCCCGCTCCCTCACCAGCCCCAGCCTGGGCCCCGGAGGCTGGATGCGCCGCAGCGAGAGCACCTGTACCGTCAACAACTCCTCAATGGGCCTCCGGGCCACCAGGGGGCGTATGCGGCCAGCCACCTCCCTTCCCCACATTGCCCGGGGGTTTGGAGGGGCCTCCACGCTGCCCTTGCCTTCCACGCCGCGGGGCCCCTGTCTCCTTGTGGCCCTCAGACCCGTTAACCTAGACCAGGAGAGGCAGGCCTTCTTCCAGTCTGACTATAAATACGACCCACAGTTTGAGTACTCGACCCCGGAGCCCAGCACTGTGCTGGAGAAATACAGAGAGGGATCTGGCCTCTTCCTCACACAGGTAGGTCTCTCTATCTGGCAAAGATATTAGATGATAGGAAGATAACCCACTCTGGGGATTGATTTATTCTCACTCTCTCTCTCTCTCTCTCTCTCTCTCTCTCTCTCTCTCTCTCTCTCTCTCTCTCTCTCTCTCTCTCTCTCTCTCTCTCTCTCTCTCTCTCTCTCTCTCTCTCTCTCTCTCTGGGTGCTTCTCTCTCTAACGCTCTCTCTCATTCTCTCTCTTTCCCTCCTCTGTCTCTCTGGGTTTCTCTCTCTCTCTAGGCTGTTGGGATTATGGAGTGTATTCTGAGGAAGTTTGGTAACTATGAGAACTTTGAGGAGGTGACGGGAGGAAGTATTTTACCGAAGAGTAGAGTCTGGGCTGCTGCACGCAAGTACCTGCAGAAGGAGAACTGTGTAGGAGAGGTGAGTGAGTAGTGTGTTTGAGGGTTGGTGTGTTATGGGTAGTGTGTTTGTGGGTTGGTGTGTTACGTGTAATGCAGTGGAGGCTGCTGAGGGGAGGACGGCTCATAATAATGGTTGGATTGGAGTGAATGGAATGGCATCAAACCATGTGTTTGATGTATTTGATACCATTCCACCGATTCCTCTCAAGCCATTACCACGAGCCCGTCCTCCCAAATGAAGGTGCCACCAAACTCCTGTGGTGTAGTGTGTTTGAAGGTTACTGTGTTAACAAGATGTCTTTGTGTAATGATGATGATAACCTTGTCTAGAGGGTGGTGGTCTGTGTGATGATGATGATAACCTTGTCTAGAGGGTGGTGGTCTGTATGATGATGATGATAACCTTGTCTAGAGGGTGGTGGTCTGTGTGATGATGATGATAACCTTATCTAGAGGGTGGTGTGTCTGTATGATGATGATGATGATGATGATGATGATGGTAATGATGATGACCTCGTCTAGGTGGTGGTGTGTCTGTCTGAGGAGCTGCTGTCGCAGGCTGTGATGATGGTGGAGAGTTGTCGTCCCACTCTGACTATCAACCTGTCTGGAGCACGACAACACTGGCTGGAGGGCATGTTCAGGCATGAGATAGGTACACTACACTGACTGTACCATACAGCATGTTGTCACCGTGTGGGGGATCTGGGATGTGTTTATCACTGACGGTACCATACAGCATGTTGTCACCGTGTGGGGGATCTGGGATGTGTTTATCACTGACTGTACCATACAGCATGTTGTCACCGTGTGGGGGATCTGGGATGTGTTTATCACTGACGGTACCATACAGCATGTTGTCACCGTGTGGGGGATTTGGGTTGTGTACATCATCCACACAGCATCATAAATTAGTTATGAGTTATCATTTCTGAGTTCTACGCAAACACAACTCAGTATTTGTGTTGAATTTGTTCACCAGCCATATCCACTACAGAAGCCAAGTAAGGCTAGTCTAAAATGAACCATCCTTCATCTCTCTCTCCCTATCAGGTATACACTGCCTCAATACCTTCCTGTTATTCCATCTCTCTCTCAGGCAAACATTACCTGAAATAAACCTTCTTCCAGCTCCGTCACACACAACCTTAATACAATTCCATGATTTTCATCGCTCTCTCTCTCTCAAACATTACCTGAAATAAATCTACTTCCATCTCTCATCTCTACATCCCCGTGTTATTCCATCTCTCCCTCCCAGGAACCCACTACCTTCGGGGTGTGAACAACAACCTGCAGCCCTGGTCCACTTCCGCAGGCAGGAAGCAGTATGGCCTAAAACCGGCCAATCCCACGGAAGAGGGCCTGGCAAGCCTGCACAGTGTGTTGCTACGGAAACAGCCCTACCTGTGGCGCGCCGCTCTGCTCTACTATACGGTGTACCACGCCGCCAGGATGAGCTTCAGCCAGCTCTTCAGCGACATCGCTCAGTTCGTCCAGGATCCCGCGGTGCGCTGGGAGTACTGCCTCAGAGCCAAGAGGGGACAGACGGACACCTCGCAGCCTGGTGGGGGACAGTGTGTGTGTGTGTCTTTGATTGTGTGAGAGTGTGATCGTGTGTGAATAGACTCACCATTGCACATGTACCAGTGGTAGATACAGTGCCTTCGGAAAGTATTCAGACCCCTTGACTTTTTCCACATTTTGTTACGTTACAGCCTTATTCTAAAATTGATTAAATTGTTTTTTCCCCTCATCAATCTACACACAATACCCCATAATGACAAAGCAAGAACAGGTATTTAGAAATTTTAAAAAAAGAAAAAACTGAAATATCACAGGTGAGGTGAACCTTCGCCCCAGTCTGAGGTCCTGAGCGCTCTGGAGCAGGTTTTCCTCAAGGATCTCTCTGTACTTTGCTCCATTCATATTTTCCTCGATCCTGACTAGTCTCACAGTCCCTGCCGCTGAAAAACATCCCCACAGCATGATGCTGCCACCCCCATGCTTCACCGTAGGGATGGTGCCAGGTTTCCTCCAGACGTGACGCTTGGCATTCAGGCCAAAGAGTTAAATCTTGATTTCATCAGACCAGAGAATCTTGTTTCTCATGGTCTGAGAGTCTTTAGGTGCATTTTGGCAAACTCCAAGCGGGCTGTCATGTGCCTTTTACTGAGGAGTGGCTTCCGTCTGGTTCTTGGTCACCTCCCTGACCAAGGCCCTTCTCCCTCGATTGCTCAGTTTGGCCGGGTTTGTGCCTTTCCAAATCATGTACAATCAATTGAATTTAACACAGGTGGACTCCAATCAAGTTGTAGAAACATCTCAAGGATGATCAATGGAAACAGGATGCACCTGAGCTCAATTTTGAGTCTTATAGCAAGGGTCTCAATACTTATGTAAATAAGGTATTTCTGTTTTTTATTTTTAATAGAGTTGCAAACATTTCTAAAAACCTGTTTTTGCTTTGTCATTATTTACATTTACATTTTAGTCATTTAGCAGACGCTCTTATCCAGAGCGACTTACAGTTAGTGAGTGCATACATTTTCATACTGGCCCCACGTGGGAAACGAACCCACAACCCTGGCGTTGCAAGCGCCATGCTCTACCAACTGAGCTACACGGGTATTGTGTGTAGATTGATGAGGGGAAAAAAACAATTTAATCAATTTTAGAATAAGGCTGTTACGTAACAAAATGTGGAAAAAGCCAAGGGGGTCTGAATACTTTACGAAGCCACTGTATATGCACCCAACTCACAAACATATACAAACACAAAACAAATTACATTATTTTTTTTAAAGGATTGGTGGCCACTGTGTTGACTTGATTGTGTGTGTGTGTGTGTGTGTGTGTGTGTGTGTGAATCAGGCTGTTTCAGTAAAGATCAGGTGTACCTGGACGGAATCCTCAGGATTCTACGACATCGGAGGAACATCGACTTCAAGATGTTGACCTCGCTAGGCAAGGTCAGTCTTCATTCTCCCATACAGGATCCTTTCATTACATTTTACATTTTAGTAATTTAGCAGACGCTCTTATCCAGAGCGACTTACAGTTAGTGAATACACTTCTTTTTTTTCTTCATACTGGCCCCCCGTGGGAATCGAACCCACAACCCTGGCGTTGCAAACACCATGCTCTATCAACTGAGCTACATCCCAGCCGGCCATTCCCTCCCCTACCCTGGACGACGCTGGGCCAATTGTGCACCGCCCATGAGTCTCCCGGTCGCGGCCGGCTGCGACAGAGCCTGGATTCGAACCAGGATCTATAGTGGCACAGCTAGCACTGCGATGCAGTGCCTTAGACCACTGCGCCACTCTCTCTTTCATGTTTATTTTCCCCATGGTGATGGTGATGATGTATAGTTTGGTTGTTTCATGGTGTACACATTTGCAGGAAAAAGCTGAATTGTAGTTTACACCTCACCGGTAGAGTATAGGGCTGTTGTAATATCAGATCGAGTTGGAAAAAGGCTGAGTCTGTAAAACCGACGTGATGATGATGTTAACCTAACCTTTCTTCTGGCCCTCCAGGTGTCGTTTGAGGATGTGGAAAGGCTGCGGCACATCGCCGTCCTCCGCCGGACCAGAATCCCTCACTTCATGCAGGACCAGGAGAAATACCTTCAGCATCTGGACCACATCGTCACGGTCAACGAACTGAGCGACGCTCAGCTTAGAGAACTCCTTCCCTGACCAACCGACCTTCAGCTGTGCGCGGTAGATCACCTGCTGGGAGTCAACGAAGGTGGCGATTCAACGTGTAGAATGGTTGGGAAATTCATAGAAAATGGCGGCTGATGTTCGGTGGTCAGAGGCGTTAAGAATGGTTACCTGCTGCCGATTACCTCTGGTCAGCGAGGTCTGTTTTCCCCTTGACTGACTGACTCCCTCTGGTCTAGACTGGCCATACCATCCTTGACTGACCAAACTCCCTCTGGTCTAGACCTAACCCTAATCCTCCCAAGTGTCATTCATCACCCTGCTGTTGGAAAGCCCTGGAAATGAAGGCTAGTGTTCCGACAGACAGAGTATGTGGAGCGAACATATCAACACTTTGATCATATCTACTACGCTTGGATCATATTCAGTATGGTTGAGTCCTAAACTGAACCCCATTCTCTATGTAGTGCACTACTTTTGACCAGATCGCAGATCAGATGTAGTGCACTATAAAGGGAATAGGGTGTTATTTGTGAAGCAACTCAACTGAAGATCAGAGGAGACCCTGGAAGCGGCTGTTGAACCAGACAGAGACAGTCAGAGAGACTTGTAAAGTTGTACAACTTTATTTCCCAGCAAGCGAGTGTCATGGGGGAGTCTACTGCTAGTGTTAAATGTTTCATGGATATTGAGCAGTGTGGTGGACAGAGCAGTGAGGAGACAGGAAAATCAATGACTTTGTCTCTCTCTCGCTTCCCCCTCTCTCTCGCTCTCTTATTTGGACCAAGTCTCTCTCTCTCTCTCTATCATCCTAAATCATGGTCATAGAGCCCAACAGGTCAGTGGATTGTTGCGATGACAGGAGTCCTGCAGGGACACAGAACGGTTCTTCTGATACTTCAATGATATCTACCTTGTGTTCATATTCAACCCCCTGGATCATAACTACGTTGTGTTCATATTCAACCCCCTGGATCATAACTACGTTGTGTTCATATTCAACCCCCTGGATCATAACTACGTTGTGTTCATATTCAACCCCCTGGATCATAACTACGTTGTGTTCATATTCAACCCCCTGGATCATAACTACGTTGTGTTCATATTCAACCCCCTGGATCATAACTACGTTGTGTTCATATTCAACCCCCTGGATCATATCTACGTTGTGTTCATATTCAACCCCCTGGATCATAACTACGTTGTGTTCATATTCAACCCCCTGGATCATATCTACGTTGTGTTCATATTCAACCCCCTGGATCATAACTACGTTGTGTTCATATTCAACCCCCTGGATCATAACTACGTTGTGTTCATATTCAACCCCCTGGATCATAACTACGTTGTGTTCATATTCAACCCCCTGGATCATATCTACGTTGTGTTCATATTCAACCCCCTGGATCATAACTACGTTGTGTTCATATTCAACCCCCTGGATCATATCTACGTTGTGTTCATATTCAACCCCCTGGATCATATCTACGTTGTGTTCATATTCAACCCCCTGGATCATAACTACGTTGTGTTCATATTCAACCCCCTGGATCATAACTACGTTGTGTTCATATTCAACCCCCTGGATCATATCTACGTTGTGTTCATATTCAACCCCCTGGATCATATCTACGTTGTGTTCATATTCAACCCCCTGGATCATAACTACGTTGTGTTCATATTCAACCCCCTGGATCATAACTACGTTGTGTTCATATTCAACCCCCTGGATCATATCTACGTTGTGTTCATATTCAACCCCCTGGATCATATCTACGTTGTGTTCATATTCAACCCCCTGGATCATAACTACGTTGTGTTCATATTCAACCCCCTGGATCATAACTACGTTGTGTTCATATTCAACCCCCTGGATCATAACTACGTTGTGTTCATATTCAACCCCCTGGATCATAACTACGTTGTGTTCATATTCAACCCCCTGAATCATATCTACCTTGTGTTCATATTCAACCCCCTGGATCATAACTACGTTGTGTTCATATTCAACCCCCTGGATCATAACTACGTTGTGTTCATATTCAACCCCTTGGATCATAACTACGTTGTGTTCATATTCAACCCCCTGGATCATAACTACGTTGTGTTCATATTCAACCCCCTGGATCATAACTACGTTGTGTTCATATTCAACCCCTTGGATCAAAACTACGTTCTGTTCATATTCAACCCCCTGGATCATATCTCCGTCTGTATGGACCATATACTGTACATCACATATCTACACTTCCAGTGAACGTCACATATATCCAATGCATGTCTTTGAGGCGTTTTTTCACCTGGCCAAGTACTGCAGAAGGACATTACTGCTGCTTCAGCTTCCATCCCACTGCCTTTACTCACACTCAAGTTACTTCAATACTGTAACCCAGGGTTCCCCAACTGGCCGGCCGCGGTGATCTTATATACCCCCCCCCCATTTTTTTAGCAAAAATAAATACATAATTTATGACTACATTTTTTTCTTTTTGGACATAAAATGCTGTAACACCAGCAAATCAGCTCCAAGTTATTTTAATTTAGGAAATCTGTTCCAAAGAAATCCCACGCATAAAAGAGATTATGTGATCGTATACAAATCTAAGCAAGGTTTGAAATTATGTTTTAGTCAAATATTATATCTGTTTGGGCTTCTCGCGGTCAATTTGCGGTCTACCAATTATTTGTCATTACGTTCTGGGCCCCTGACCATCTGCTCATGAAAATAAATCGCCCCACGGCTGAATCTAGTTGATGATCCCTGCTGTAACCACTAGCTAATCTGGCTACAGGGTTGAGCTCAATATCATTTCAATTCAGGAAATACACTGTAATTCCAATTCTCTTCAATAAGGAACATTTGGAATTTGGTTTACTTTCTATATTGACTGGAATTTAAATGGAATTGAGGCCAAACCTGTCTGCTTGTATCATAAATACCCACTGGGCAAAAACTTGTTGAATCAACATTGTTTCCACATAATTTCAACCAAATAATTATCTGATGAAATTGAAATCAACCTGGAAAACTGATTGGATTAGAAAGTCATAAACGTAAGGGAATTTTGTATATTTCTCACCCATCTTTTAACCCAAATCCAATGACATGTTCAAATTGTTTGTTGATTTCACATTGAATTCATGTTAGTTGACAACTCAACTGACGTCTGTGCCCAGTGGGTACATTCTTCTCATGTACATAGCCTACATTATACCACTGCAGCCGATGTCTGTGTAAAACTGCGCTTCTGCTTCTTATACCTCTGTAAACAACCACAGGGACCTTGTACTGGTTTTGTAAGTTATTTAATTTGTCTGTTTTTATTTTCAGGACAAAAACAATGAATGTCTATGGTATTAGCTTTGTAACTCCTTTTTGTGGAGCTGATTGTTTTACGCCTTTAGCTTTGCTAAAAAGAACACCAAGGAGCACTCAGTTCTATTCCAGAACCCAGGTAAAGAACACCAAGGAGCACTCAGTTCTATTCCAGAACCCAGGTAAAGAACACCAAGGAGCACTCAGTTCTATTCCAGAACCCAGGTAAAGAACACCAATGAGCACTCAGTTCTATTCCAGAACCCAGGTAAAGAACACCAAGGAGCACTCAGTTCTATTCCAGAACCCAGGTAAAGAACACCAATGAGCACTCAGTTCTATTCCAGAACCCAGGTAAAGAACACCAAGAATCTCAAGAAACTAAAAGTGCCAATAGATTCAGTCTGACTGGTCTGGATGTTCAATATTAAAATAAATATTTCCTGGGATTCATTTTTACCACTATTGTACAACACAAATGTATCTTATTGTGTCGTTAATCAGACCAAGTTATGGTTGTTATTTTGCTTTGTTGAGAGAGAGCTCCCTTGGTGGGCTTCAAGCTCCCTTGATATCAGCGCTACAGTTTTAATGTGATGTGACTGAGCTGAACGCCTGAGCTTCCCTTGCCTTCCGCTTCACGTGGGATCCTTTGCCCTCTATGCCAGGCCCATGGACGTTATAGGCCACGCTCCCCTGCTCAGACGTTGTTTTCCATCAACCAATGGTTGCGTGCCACGTCATCGACTGTGCCGTCTGGCACCAGACTGCTATAACATGATGTGTTTAGCTGGTAGGTGAAACACCTATCCAGGCGTTGTGATGATCTGGCATGTATCAGCAACGTCTGGGCAGAGGAACACACCCATATATAAAAAGGACAGGTCGCTGAGATAATATGCTACCACGGCAACCTTAATACACACCGTCAGCAACTTCCTCATTTCCTAGGTTTGACAAGGCACATGAGTGATTGGCTGTACAGGAGAAAGGTGTGTGTTGTTTGCCTGCCTTAGATGGGTTTAGATTAGAACTCACCTGGGCTGCGTTCAGTAGGGCACTACGTTGTGGAATTGTGTCAGCTCTATTCATAGCACTTCGATCTGCAGCGTTCAGTGTATTGCAGCCCTGCTGAATGCAGCCCTGCTGAAGTTAGACATCTGTAGACTGCATTTTAATGTATCACTGTTTTGTCATTTGTATTGCACGAATGTTGCACAAATTATGTTCTGGAAATAATCTGGGATTAAAACTGACGTCTATAACTTTATAGAATTTACATTTTTGAATGTATTTGATAATGATCTGAGAATTGTTCATATTTTGACTTGGGTACAGCGCATTCGGAAAGTATTCAGACCCATTGACTTTTTCCACATTTTATTACATTATTCTAAAAAAAAAAAAAAAAAAAAAAATGTAATCAATCTACAGACAACATAATGACAAAGCGAAACGTTTTTTTTGTAGACAATTTATAAAAAATTAAACAGAAATACCTTATTTACATAAGTATTCAGACCCTTTGCTATGAGACTCGAAATGTGCATCCTGTTTCCATTGATCATCCTTGAGCTGATTTCTACAACTAGGAGTCCACCTGTGGTAAATTCAATTGATTGGACATGATTTGGAAAGGCACACACCTGTCTATATAAGGTCCCACAGTTGACAGCGCATGTCAGAGCAAAAACCAAGCCATGAGGTCAAAGAAAATTGTTTTTAGAGCTCCGAGACAGGATTGTGTCGATGCAGAATCTGGGGAAGGGTACCAAAAATGTCTGCAGCATTGAAGGTCCAAGAACACAGTAGCCTCCATCATTCTTAAATGGAAGAAGTTTGGAACCACTAAGACTCTTCCTAAAGCTGGCCGCCCGGCCAAACTGAGCAATCGGGGGAGAAGGGCCTTGTTCAGGGAGGTGACCAAGAACCCGATGGTCATTCTGACAGAGCTCCACAGTTCCTCTGTGGAGATGGGAGAAACTTCCAGAAGGACAACCAGCCTTTATGGTAGAGTGGCCAGACAGAAGCCACTCCTCAGTAAAAAGGCACATGACAGCCCGCTTGGAGTCTGCCAAAAGGCACCTAAAGACTCTCAGACCATGAGAAACAAGATTCTCTGGTCTGATGAAACCAAGATTGAACTCTTTGGCCTGAACGCCAAGCGTCACGTCTGGAGAAAACCAGGCACCATCCCTACAGTGAAGCATGGTGGTGGCAGCATCATGCTGTGGGGATGTTTTTCAGCGGCAGGGACTGGGAGACCAGTCAGGACTAAGGGAAAGATGAACGGAGCAAAGTACAGAGAGATCCTTGATGAAAACCTGCTGCAGAGCACTCAGGACCTCAGACTGGGGTGAAGGTTCACCTTCCAACAGGACAACGACCCTAAGCACACAGCCAAGACAACGCAGGAGTGGCTTCGGGACACGTCTCTGAATGTCCTTGAGTGGTCCAGCCAGAGCCCGGACTTGAACCCAATTGAAGATCTCTGGAGAGACCTGAAAATAGCTGTGCAGCGACGCTCCCCATCCAACCTGACAGAGCTTGAGAGGATCTGCAGAGAAGAATGGGAGAAACTCCCCAAATACAGGTGTGCCAAGCTTGTAGCGTCATACCTAAGAAGACTCGAGGCTGTAATCGCTGCCAAAGGTGCTTCAACAAAGTACTGAGTAAAGGGTCTGAATACTTATGTAAATGTAATATTTCCGTTATTTATTTGTAATAACTCAGTTGTTGCTCAGTTGGTAGAGCATGGCGCTTGCAACGTCAGGGTTGTGGGTTTGTTTCCCACGGGGGGCCAGTATGAAAAAAAAAGAAGTATGCAATCACTAACTGTAAGTCGCTCTGGATAAGCGCGTCTGCTAAATGACTAAAATGTAATACATTTGCAAAAATAAAAAAGTTTTTGCTTTGTCATTATGGGGTATTGTGTGTAGATTGATGAGGGAAAAAAAATATTTAATCCATTTTAGAATAAGGCTGTAACGTAACAAAATGTGGAAAAGGTCAAGGGGGTCTGAATACTTTCCGAATGTATTTAGGTTTCTACTGATCAATCAGAAATCAATACATACAATTAAAAAAAAAAAGCACGTACAAAAACATTTAAATAAAAATGGTTTATTCTCTTTAATATAGTATTTGTTCTATTCATAGCAGAAAAGAGCCTCCATGCCACTCAGTATTATTATAGCTCTGACCCCAGGACAGTCCAGCTTCATACTGACCAACACACATCTTACAGCACAACACCAGCGCCAAACTGACCTGGAGTCAGTCTCTGTATCACATCTGACATCAGCTCATTTGAAAACAGGGGAGTTGAGGTGGGTGGGGTGGGGAGCGGGCAGGGATTTTGGGGGGGTGGGGGGGGGGGGGGGGGCAGTTCAAGGAGGCAATATCACACCTCATAGCTTGGATCCGATACGTTGTGTATTGACTGGGTCCAAGCAACGCTAGTACCCAACGTTGTGAAAGATTTAGCTTTTATCCAAGTGTTGTTGTGTGTGTGTTGCAAGTTGACGTCTTACTCCAGTACGGCCGTAGACTTGGAGGCAGATCGTTTCTGCCACGAAAGGGTTCACAAGTTGAGGTAACAAATGTTTTTTCCTGGACAGCAAGAAGGAATGGAGACACGATCAAAACAACGGAAGTCTGGGCTTGTTACAGCGTGGATGTTTCTGTGCAAGTGCAGGTATATATATGTGTGGCTGGGTGTGAGAATGTGTACGTGTCGGGGTTCTCCCCAGGATTATTTAACAAGGTGCTACTGCTTAGTATGTTTTCTACACCTGTAACTGACATTTCCTGCAATCTACAGCAAAAAAAATAAAATTTGCTTAAATGATAACATATAAATATAATATTGAAGTTATTTTTCATAATGGCGCAGCCAGTCCACAAGGTGGCGCCGCTCTAACGTTCTTTGGGGAGAACTCTTGTGTGTGTGTGAGTTACCTCCTCTCTGCCCATCATGTTGCATTGGATCCACTTATTGCCTTGGTGTCTGTGTTGGAGATGGTCTGCTCATTCAGCACTGGATCTGAGAGAGACAGAACATGGTAGTCAAGAGATCATCCCTTTCCAATTCACTCTTCATCAGTACAGACGAATGTTTAAAGGGATGGTGACAGATTTCTTTATTACACAGAGTCAGATGAAAAAGGGTTTATAAGGATACTTCAGGATTATGGCAATGAGGCCCTTTATCTACTGCTAGCATGCTAGCAGATACCCATATACTTCCAGTCATTGTGCTAACGCTAGTTAGCATTAGCTCGCTAAACTACCTCTAACTTCCTTGATACTGGACACAGAAACATAAAAATAGTATCTACAAGTTCAACTTACTACGCCAAAATCCCACAGTATCCCTTTAATTAACCAAATCTCTCACCATCCCTTTAAGCAATGGGTTTGAACTGCTTCTAACTATTTGCACATCATCACTAATGAAATTTGCATAGATCATTGCATACTGGACACCGAATGAGTGCACTTTTTTGTTTAAAATAAATGCACTGTTGGTTAAGGGCTGTAAGTAAGCATTTCACTGTAATGTCTGCACCTGTTGTATTCGGCGCATGTGACCAATAAAATTTGATTTGATTTGACTGCCTAGAATTGGGTCCGTGGACAGGGATGGAGAGAGGGAGACACAGCGACAGACAGAGGGAGGAATGGAGAAAGAGAAACAGAAAGAAAGAGTGACTCAAACAAGAGGTGCGTGTGTCCGAGTATGTGAGCAGAGTTGAGTGATCTTTGTGCAGCTCTCAACATCCTTTCCCCTCCGCTAAAATTTTTTTAAAAAATCGGCCAGCGCTCACATAAAAGAAATATTTTAAAAAACTGCAGCTCCAATTTCGTGACTATGCACCATTTGGTTTTGAAGTAGGCTATCATAAGAAGCTTCAACATTTCAACAAGGACCTTGCTGATGAGATGTGGCCATCACGTTAAAAAACGAATAGCTTTTTCTCCAATCTATTGATGATCAGATACTTCAGTCGTAACTGGCTCTGTTGCGCTCGCATTTTACAGCTGATAAGAGAACGTTTAGCACTGTTACAAACTTAAGACTCCTATTTTTTTATTTTTTTATAATATAGAAATCTAAACGTCTCTGGTGCTGGTGAATGGGCTCATGTGTTGTCTTGACATCAATTACACAGGCCTATTTCTTGGGTCGACTGATATCTACATCTCTGCTCATTAGTGGTGGGGCAGGTTAAATGAATACAACAGAACAGGCCTTATTAAAACAACACGGAGGAAAAAAAATGTAAATGCGGTACGAGAACGAAATTAGAGGAAGAGAACAGGCTGAACCTCTAAAATTTTTTTTAAATCAGCTCCTCGCTCCAGTCAAATGACGCTCCGCTCCTCGCTCCAGTCAAATGACGCTCCGCTCCTCGCTCCAGTCAAATGACGCTCCGCTCCTCGCTCCACTCAGCTCATATCTTCTGCTGTGTGTGTGTTTATCTTAAGGGCTCTACACAGTCTAATCAAACGGAGCCGACAGAGGTCTGTTTGCATCCAGTTCCAAAAATTCTGCCTCGCAAATGTACGTAGAACTACTACGTATATAGAGCGATGGAAACGGACCTCTGTCGGCTCTGTTTGAGTGGACTGGGTAGACCCCTTTACAGAAGAATGGATGCTGCTGGCCTTGGACAGACAGACAGAGAGAGAAGGCTGACATACAGACAGACAGACAGACAGACAGCGACAGACGGGTGTATCTTACAGAAGTATGGATGCTGCTGGCCTTGGACAGACAGACAGACAGTGACAGACAGACGGGTGTATCTTACAGAAGTATGGATGCTGCATGGCCTTGGACAGACAGACAGACAGAGCGACAGACAGACGGGTGTATCTTACAGAAGTATGGATGCTGCTGGCCTTGGACAGACAGACAGACAGACAGACAGTGACAGACAGACGGGTGTATCTTACAGAAGTATGGATGCTGCATGGCCTTGGACAGACAGACAGACAGACAGCGACAGACAGACGGGTGTATCTTACAGAAGTATGGATGCTGCTGGCCTTGGACAGACAGACAGACAGACAGACAGTGACAGACAGACGGGTGTATCTTACAGAAGTATGGATGCTGCTGGCCTTGGACAGACAGACAGACAGACAGACAGTGACAGACAGACGGGTGTATCTTACAGAAGTATGGATGCTGCTGGCCTTGGACAGACAGACAGACAGACAGACAGACAGACAGACGGGTGTATCTTACAGAAGTATGGATGCTGCTGGCCTTGGACAGACAGACAGACAGACAGTGACAGACAGACGGGTGTATCTTACAGAAGTATGGATGCTGCATGGCCTCGGCAGCGGTCAGTCTCTGCTGGTGGTCGTAACGTAGCAGCTTGTCTAGAAGGTCCAGGGACTCCGGGGTCACCAGGTGCTGGTTCTCTGTCTGGACAAACTGCTCCCAGCGCTTCCTCGTCTGCCTAGGGGGGAGGAGAGGAGGGGGAGGAGAGGAGCTACTGCTTGAACTGGTCCAATAAGAAACACTCATTTTAGTTTAACATTTCCAAATGTAGAGCTAGGGTATGCCTGAAGGGAAGAGAAGGACAGAGACTGAGTACGATGACACATCCCTTCCCAAAGGGCACATCCATCCAATAAAAGGAGAGACTGGGAGGCTAAAATGGGAGGTGATTGGATCTTTACTTTGTATTCTATGTCCGCAGGGCGACACAGAGACAACAGGAAACTGGGACGTCTGTGGATTTCTACATAATATATTTCTATCGGAACATTCCACACGGTAGGCTAGCACAGTGGTATGTTTGCTCCACGTAAACAAACAGTCTTGCATACCACGGCACTAAACAAAGCCCAACACAGCCACTGAATACCACCCCAGCAGCCCTCCAACAGCAGCCCTCTCCTAGCCTGAGTGGCAGTGTGTTTCTGTGATCGTGTCAGTGCCTTGCCAAGTTGTTTGGCTTTTCAACGAGCAATGGGGACTTGGCTAGAGCACAAACAGATCTGGGACCAGGCTGTGCTACGCCCCCCCTGGTGTTACTTACTGGCCCAGCAGGTCTTTGAAACGCGTGTCCAGTTCGATGTGGTACTTGTGCAGGTAACCAAACAGCTCATCTGTCCCAAGAACCTTAGCGATGCGGACCAGCTGGACACAACATGGAACGGACAGTCAGAGGAACTTTTGAGACACTATCCTCACCTTCTACATAAAAGATGACCAGTGTTCATAGTGTGTGTGTTAATGTGGTCATTTAGTTGTAATAAATAACAGGGTTGGTTGACAATAGAAGTGGTAACCTCCTCTCTAGTGGCTGGTCCCACTCCCAATGATGCCATTCAACACTGTTGTTCTACATACAAGTATAGTATCATGGATTAGTGTAGTGTTGTGCTAGTTACCTGGTCCTAGTTACCCTGTGTGTGTGTGTGTGTGTGTGTGTATATATATCTATATATATCTATATATGTCTGTGTGTGTGTGTGTGTGTATGTATATATATGTGTGTGTATATATGTGTGTGTACCTGGTCGTAGTTGTCCTGGCCATGGAAGAATGGCTCTTTCAGGAAGATCATGCTGGCCAACATGCAGCCCAGACTCCACATGTCCAGACTGTAGTCATAAAGCTACAACCACAACCACAAAACAAAAGGACAATACAGAAGATTGGACAAATACTCTACAACTGATTTTAAAATCACAACGTGGTTCATTTGAACATTATCCATTTTATTGGTACATTTGTAAACATACTACTATTGAACATACTAAATGTTAGCAGGCAAATAAATGTGTTCACGTAACAAGGATTAAACCAATATGTGCATAATGATGCATTGCAGTGTATGTGGATGTTAGTGTGATGTATGTTAATAACTGGCGTGTTAATAACTAGCGTGTTAATAACTGGCGTGTTAATAACTGGCGTGTTAATAACTGGCGTGTTAATAACTGGCGTGTTAATAACTAGCGTGTTAATAACTGGCATGTTAATAACTAGCGTGTTAATAACTAGCGTGTTAATAACTGGCGTGTTAATAACTGGCGTGTTAATAACTGGCGTGTTAATAACTGGCGTGTTAATAACTAGCGTGTTAATAACTAGCGTGTTAATAACTAGCGTGTTAATAACTAGCGTGTTAATAACTGGCGTGTTAATAACTGGCGTGTTAATAACTGGCGGTGTTAATAACTGAGCGTGTTAATAACTGGCGTGTTAATAACTAGCGTGTTAATAACTGAGCGTGTAATAACTGGCGTTTTAATAACTGGACTAGCGTGTTAATAACTAGCGTGTTAATAACTAGCGTGTTAATAACTGGCGTGTTAATAACTAGCGTGTTAATAACTAGCGTGTTAATAACTGGCGTGTTAATAACTGGCGTGTTAATAACTAGCGTGTTAATAACTAGCGTGTTAATAACTAGCGTGTTAATAACTGGCGTGTTAATAACTGGCGTGTTAATAACTGGCGTGTTAATAACTAGCGTGTTAATAACTGGCGTGTTAATAACTAGCGTGTTAATAACTGGCGTGTTAATAACTGGCGTGTTAATAACTAGCGTGTTAATAACTAGTATGTTAATAACTAGTATGTACCTGATAGTCCACTAGTAGCTCTGGTCCTTTAAAATAACGCGAGGCCACCCTGACGTTGTATTCCTGAGCTGGGTGGTAGAACTCAGCCAGACCCCAGTCTATGAGACGCAGCTGAGAGACAGACAGACACACAGACAGAGACAGAGAGACAGAAAGAGAGAGAAGGGTTTGTAACAGTGTGACATCTGCAGAAGCAGGGCTTCCTGTTTTGCCCTCGAAGCCTTTCAAAATGTCCTTCTGACCAAATAGCGGACCATCTGGGAACTACGGATCTACGGTCGTAGGTTTGGGATCAATTCAAGTTCGATTTTCAGTAAGATTCAGGAGGTAACGGAATTCAACTCGTGATTTGAAAATAGTCTGAATATTAACAGCTCATTTTGAATTGATAAATTGAACCTTCAGTTGGTTATTGAGTTGAAGAAAGGACAGATCCAACCATAAAGCTGCATTATGTCACTTCTTGGGCGACCAGACCAAATTCACATAGAAATGTGATTATAGATCTGTCATCCTCATTGAAAGCAAGTCTAAGAAGCTGTAGATCTGTTCTATGTTCTACTATTTCTATGCTTCCCGTTCTTAAGTTTAGTTTTTGCGTCTTTTGCTTTCAGTTTTGTACACCAGCTTCAAAATAGCTGAAAATACAATATTTTTGGTTATGGAAAATATATTTCACAGCGGTTTAGATGGTACAATGAGTCTCTACACTATACTTGCTTGTTTTGTCACATAAACTGAAATTAGGAGAAATATTAGAATTTTAGCAACCAGGAAATGGCGGAGCGATTTCTGCAAAGTGCACCTTTAATCTAGGCCTGAAGTGTTGTGTTCTGCTGCTGCGGCTTCATTACCGCCACCTGGTGGCTAAACAGCACGATGACAGCCCGCCCCAACCTGGACCCTCTCCAGCATCACAGCGTTTTTTGGTGCCATAACTTGACCCATTTAACACCTATTGAAGTTTCCTTCTCTGGATGTGTGTGCCAATGATCTCATCTTCCTCCCAAAGCGTCACCTTGTTACCTTCCCTGATTCTAAAAGGAAATGACTGGCATAAGAAATATGATGGAGAACTCCCACTAAACTATGCATCCACCAATCCAATGCCATTAGATCTGTGGGAAAGCACTGAACGAGTGTATCCTTGTATTACCAGACTGATTACTGCTGAATCATCGTGTAGCAAAACAGAAGGTAAGCTTGCGAGACTTGCGGAAGGTTTGTACGGAGGTTGAAACGAGTGTAGACTTCAGGAGAAAGGAGATATTTGGGACGCACACCCCTCTGTGACACTCCCTGATAAAACAACGGTGTTGATGCTCTGCCTCTGACCCAGGAGAAATGAGCTGCAGCTATGGGGCGAGCTATTTGGGAAACACTGGCCTAGATCAGTAGGGAACATGGCAGGAATGTGTTGATCATAGCATCATAAAAATGGGCTTCTTCTATAGAAATATGTCCCGTCTCTCGACTAAAATGGTAGAAAGCAGATTATTTAGTCAATGTTCCTACCGGGCCTAGACTATGGCGACATCATCTATATCAAGGGTTTCCAACCCTGTTCCTGGAGAGATACCCTCCTGTAGGTTAACTCCAACCCTGTTCCTGGAGAGCTACCCTCCTGTAGGTTAACTCCAACCGTGTTCCTGGAGAGCTACCCTCCTGTAGGTTAACTCCAACTCATATAAGACATTCACACTAAACAAAAATATAAACGCAACATGTAAAGTGCTGGTCCCATGTTTCATGAGCTGAAATAAAAGATCCCAGAAATGTTCCATACACACAAAAAAGCTTATTTCTCTCAAAATGTTGTGCACAAATTTGTTTACATCCCTGTTAGTGAGCATTTCTCCTTTGCCAAGATAATCCATCCACCTGATGGGTGTGGAATATCAACAAGCTGATTAAACAGCATGATCATTACACAGGTGCACCTTGTGCTGGGGATAATAAACGGCCTCTAAAATGTGCAGTTTTGTCAAACAACAGAATGCCACAGATGTCTCAAGTTTTGAGGGAGAGTGCAATTGGCATGCTGACTGCATGAATGTCCACCAGAGCGGTTGCCAGATCATTTAATGTTAATTTCTCTAAGAAAGCCCCATCCAACATCGTTTTAGAGAATTTGGCAGTATGTCCACTCGGCCTCACAACCACAGACCACGTGTATGGCGTCGTGTGGGCGAGCGGTTTGCTGATGTCAACGTTGTGAACAGAGTACCCCATGGTGGCGGTGGGGTTATGGTATGGGCAGGCATAAGCTCCGGACAACAAAAACAATTGCATTTTATCGATGGCAATTTGAATGCACAGAGATACCGTGACGAGATCCTGAGGCCCATTGTCGTGCCATTCATCCGCCACCATCACCTCATGGTTTTCAGCATGATAATGCACGGCCCCATGTCGCAAGGATCTGTATACAATACCTGGAAGCTGAAAATGTCCCAGTTCTTCCATGGCCTGCATACGCAGACATGTCACCCATTGAGCATGTTTGGGATGCTCTGGATCGACGTGTACGACAGCGTGTTCCAGTTCCCGCCAATATCCAGCAACTTCACACTGCCATTTAAGAGGATTGGGACAACGTTCCACAGGCCACAGTCAACAGCCTGATCAACTCTATGCGAAGGAGATGTGTCGCGCTGCATGAGGCAAATGGTGGTCACACCAGATACTGACTGTTTTTCTGATCCACACCCCTACTTTAAAAAAAAAGAAGTTATTCGTGACCAAGAGATGCACATCTGTATTCCCAGTCATGTGAAATCCATAAATTAAGGCGTAACAAATTGATTTCAATTGACTGATCTCCTTATATTAACTGTAACTCAGTAAAATCTTTGAAATTGTTGCATGTTGCGTTTATATTTTTGTTCAGCATAGCTTCAAATGGTTGTAAAGATGGGGAGAGGTCTGTCCGTAATAGAGAGACGCTCTGCTTTTTTGACAACACTCCACAAAGCAAGTCCTGCAGGCTCTAGTTTTATCGTATCTTGATTATTGTCGTCATATTGTCAAGTGCTGCAAAGAAAGACCTAGTTAAGCTGCAGCTGGCTCAGAACAGAGCGGCACGTCTTGCTCTTCATTGTAATCAGACGGCTAATATTAATACTTTGCATGCCAGTCTCTCTTGGCTAAGAGTTGAGGAAAGACCGACCGTGTCACCTCTTGTTTTTATAAGAAACATTAATGTGTTGGAAATTCCTAATTGTTTGCATAGTCAACTTCCACACAGCTCTGACACACACACTTACCCCACCAGACATGCCACCATGGGTATTTTCACAGTCCCCAGGTCCAGAACAAATTCAAGGAAACGTACAGTATTATACAGAGCCATGAGTGCATGGAAAACCCTTACATTTTATATAGCGCAAGTAAAAAGCAAAACATATATATATATTTTTTAAACAAAGCAACACCTCACGGCACAACGCCTCACCCCATGTGACCTACTTGTTGTGTGTATGCACTGACGTATGTGTAACTGATAGATGCACACACACACACACACTACATGTGAATGTTTTTAGATGTATGTAAATTGTAAAGTATTTTGTCTGTAATGTGTAGGTTTTCACTCCAACCCTGTTCCTGAAAAGCTACCCTCCTGTAGGTTTTCACTCCAACCCTGTTCCTGAAAAGCTACCCTCCTGTAGGTTTTCACTCCAGCCCTGTTCCTGAAAAGCTACCCTCCTGTAGGTTTTCACTCCAGCCCTGTTCCTGAAAAGCTACCCTCCTGTAGGTTTTCACTCTAACCCCAGTTGTAACTAACCTGGTTCAGCTTATCAAGCAGGTCATTATTAGAATCAGGTGTGCTAGATTAGGGCTGGAGTGACAACCTACAGGAGGGTAGCTCTCCAGGAACAGGGTTGGAGTGAAAACCTACAGGAGGGTAGCTCTCCAGGAACAGGGTTGGAGTGAAAACCTACAGGAGGGTAGCTCTCCAGGAACAGGGTTGGAGTGAAAACCTACAGGAGGGTAGCTCTCCAGGAACAGGGTTGGAGTGAAAACCTACAGGAAGGTAGCTCTCCAGGAACAGGGTTGGAGTGAAAACCTACAGGAGGGTAGCTCTCCAGGAACAGGGTTGGAGTGAAAACCTACAGGAAGGTAGCTCTCCCGTAGTTACCACCTAGTTACCCCATAGTTACCACCTAGTTACCCCCTAGTTACCACCTAGTTACCCCATAGTTACCACCTAGTTACCACCTAGTTACCACCTAGTTACCCCCTAGTTACCCCCTAGTTACCCCCTAGTTACCTACATGTACATTGCCTTCAGAAATTATTAATATCCCTTGACTTCCACATTTTGTTGTGTCACAGCCGGGAATTCTAAATGGATTACATTTGATTTTTTCTCGCCCATCTACATATCATACCCCATAAAGACAAGGTGAAAGAAAGAAGAAATTGGGGAAACTTTTGCAAATGTATTGAAAATGAAATAGGTAAATATGTAATTGACATAAGTATGTTGGAACCGGTACTCCTCGTATGTAGCCTTGTAATTGTTATTTGCTCATCTTTTTTTACTTTTTAACTCTGCGTTGTTCGGAAAGGGGCTCGTAAGGAAGCATTTCACGGTAAAGTCCGCACCTGTTGTATTCGGCGCATGCGACATAAAATGTTATTTGATTTATTACGGCCGACAGTTTTAGTACTCATCACTGCATTCTCTACCAGAAAGCTGGTTGGCCCTCTGATATCACGTACAGTGAGGGGAAAAAAGTATTTGATCCCCTGCTGATTTTGTACGTTTGCCCACTGACAAAGACATGATCAGTCTATAATTTTAATGGTAGGTTTATTTGAACAGTGAGAGACAGAATAACAACAACAAAAAAATCCAGAAAAACGCATGTCAAAATTTTTTATAAATTTATTTGCATTTTAATGAGGGAAATAAGTATTTCACCCCTCTGCAAAACATGACTTAGTACTTGGTGGCAAAACCATTGTTGGCAATCACAGAGGTCAGACGTTTCTTGTAGCTGGCCACCAGTTTTGCACACATCTCAGGAGGGATTTTGTCCCACTCCTCTTTGCAGATCTTCTCCAAGTCATTAAGGTTTCGAGGCTGACGTTTGGCAACTCAA